TTCCAGGTCGCTGATGAAAATGTTGACTAGCATTGGGCCAAGAACCAATCCCTGTGGACCCCGCCATTCAGTGGTGACTCTCTACTGATAACTACATTTTAAGATGTCAGCCAGCTCTTAATCCATCTGATGCGCGCTTCATTGATACTGGATCGTGCTGATATTTTAATCAGAATGTCGCGCAGTGGGCTGTAATGACTGGGCCTAGAAATTAATCCTCATTGTAAATTCAACTGTAAGAAGTGACTGAAAGTTCATAAAATGTCACAATAAGCACGCTTCACCCTCATGACTGCCTCCCCCACCCCCTGCTGGGACCCCGGACCTTCTTCGTCCTAATCCTGAGAGGTGCGCTGGCCGCACTGGGCCACAGAGAGGGAGCCGGATGACTCCAGCGCCAGCTATTCCCGAATGCCACCTGCGGTGTGAGACTTTGGCTCTCTCCCCCACACACACACACACGTGTCCTTCCCCTTCCCAGCCTCACTCCTTCTCTTTCCTAGCCCTCTCCTTTTTCCTTCTGTCTAACCGGAGCCCGGCTTAGCCGGCCAAAATGGGGTATTTCGCAACACGGCCGTAAGCCTGAGACCTGAAAGAGGCATCTAAAAGCCTGACAGCCTGTTGCTGGTACAAGTTTGCAAGGCCTCGGAGTGGCTGACCAGCCAAGCGCTGGCCCCTGTTTCTCCAGCAGCGGGAGAGGGCAAGTGAAAGTCGACAGCTAACACAGAAGCTGCATTTCCTCCGTTTTCTTTTCTCTCCCCGTTCGTGTGTGTTTGGCTTGTTTTGTCTTCTAGGAAATGGGATCAGACTTTAGCAACAACAACCGCTCCAGCTCATCCAGCTAATTATGTCTGTGTTCCGTTATTACCATCTGTGATACCGTCTCAGTGACGGCCAAACAAGTGGGTTCCTTCTAAAATCTCTGCCCAGCTAAAGGGAAAGGGAGAAGGAATGTTGTTAAAATGAGAGCCTGATTCAATACTTAGCCTTTCAAGTGCTGTAACTGTTACTCCTTCTTCTCCGTGGCTTTAATAAAGGTTAACAAGCGTGTTTAGTGGAGTGTTTGCCACGGTGCTAAGCAGGCTGCGGTCTCTGGATACCAAACCTCAAACCTTGTTTAAAACTGTTTAATGTTGGACAGCGACTGGGCCATGCTTACACCTTACATCCGTGTCCCTAGCCTCTGTTTGCCCGAAGCTGGGAATGGGCGACAGGGGATGGATCACTGGATGATTCCCTGTTCTGTTCATTCCCTCTGGGGCACCTGGCATTGGCCACTGTCGGAAGACAGGACACTGGGCTGGATGGATCTTTGGTCTGACCCAGTAGGGCCATTCTTATGTTCGGGCCACATAGTCCATCTAAATCAATACGTGGTACCAGGGGCGGCTCCACATGGAGACGTGGTGTGCGGCAGGCCGGGGTGTAACTCTAAAGCACACTAGCCTGATGCACACTCACTGGCCAAGCAGGCCTTGCTGCCGTGCACTAATGGTGCTGTAGTGTGCTCTGACCTACTGCTGTGTGAGCACTAGGAACGATAGTGCGCTGTGCGGCAGGCCAGGCTGCTCTAGGTTTACATCCCAGCTTGCCGCGCACTAAGGGCATGTCTACACGTACAGCGCTGCAGCAGCGCAGCGGGTGAAAACACGCGATGCCGACGGGAGAGAGCTCTCCTGTCACTATAACAAAACCACCTCCGCGAGCGGCAGAAGCTGTGTGGGGGAGAAGCTCGTGCTGACATAGCGCTGTGCACACCAGCGCGCCTGTTGGTGTAACTCATGTCGCTCAGGGGGTGGTTTATTCACACCCGAGTGACATCAGTGATGCCAACATAGGCTATGTCTACACTACAGCCTCCGTGTGGACAAGCCCTAAGCCCTGGTCTACACTACATGCTTATGCCGGTATAGCTACATCACAGGGCACTTATCGCTCTGTCGATGGGAGAGCTTCTCCTGCCAACCTAGCTACCGCCTCTCGGGGAGGCGGGATACCTACGCCAACAGGAGACGCTCCCTCGCCCGTCGGCGTAGGAGCATCTTCACGAAGCGCGACGGGCGGAGCTGCACCAGGGCAGCTCTGTATGTGGAGGCAAAGCTTTACGTCAGACGCCTTGCAATCTCCAAGTCTAGTACATACACAATCACCTTTATCAAGCAAACCTGGAATCTCCTCCTAGCATGACACCAGCTGTGTTTGAGAAGACCTATTTTCCATACACCCATCTCGACTGGCATTAATGATATTCCCGTCCTTCAATTTATCCACTGAATCCTGTCTCACTTTCCCCAGGACGGGTGCCAGGCTAATGGGCCCATCTCATCCCTCTTGCCTTTCTGAATATTGGCACAACAGTGATACTCCTCCAGTCTCCTGGAGTGTCCCCAGGATTCCAAGATTTATTAAAAACTATCAACCGTGGGCCAGAGATCTCCTCAGCCAGCTGTGGTAGGACTGCTGGGTGCATGTTATCTGGGCCTGCTGATCTGAACTTCTTTATCCCTAGCAGACATTGGCTACTACTGGAGCTAGTAGGCCTGGCCAGTGCACCACGGGATGGTAGTGGGAGGACAGTTTGCACCCCAGGGCTATTAGTCCAGGGATCCCCTTCCATCCTGGCCCTGCACTGGTGGAAGGGGAAGCAAATCTAACTCCCGGGGGGGTGATCTCGCTGTGCAACGTGTGTGGACAAGTGTGCTCCGGGAATGCTAGTGCGAGCACACAGTGGTTAGTGTCACCTCTCTAGTGTCGGTAACGCTTCACCAGGCCAGCTCCTCTGCTGTCTGCCCCACTCGCTCCCGGCTCACAGTCATGTGTCCCTGGGGCATCACTGCATTTGTTCTGGCTCAGCTCCCCTGGCGCTGCTGTCACCAGCTCAGCTCCACGCTGGGAGCCCTAGTGAGGTGATGCCCAGGCATTCGTTGGCACTGAGTGACAGCCGCTCTCAGCAGGGTTAGCCTGCATCAGGGCTGAAGCACCAGGAGCCCCGACCTTCGCTACAATCCAGCCCCCTCACCCCCCGTTCTGCCATTTCCTTCCAAGGCCTCTCACCGCCTCTGGATCACTTCCCTGGCTTGGCTGCGTTCGCTGCTCCTCCCGGCTGACCAACACCTCGCAGCCTCCTTCCAGGTCATTACTGAAAACCAGCCCCGGCCCTTTGCCAACTCTGCCCCCACGTCCTCACAGCCCCAGGAGGGAGCTTAGGGTCATGGGCCCCCTTCACAGGCTGAGAGGTGAAGTAACTTGCCCAAAGGGCATCAGTGTCTGGGCCCACACTGGACACCTTCTTCAGCTCACCCCTTTGCTGGGGATCGGTATCTGCCGAACTGCCCTGCAGCCAGCCCCGGCCCAAGGCAGAGGGTCGTCCCCCAGCTGATTTCAATGAATTTCCAAGTCAGATTTAGTGACACCTAGTACCAGACACTTCCCAGGAACCTGCTTCCCTCTGGATCCTGTCCAGAAACAACCTAGTTTGTCCGGGCAGCTCCCCCCTGCAAGCCCCTCCACGCTGCTCACACTCCAGGGGCTCACAGCTGTTCTAGAGAGCGGGTGAGACATACAGGCAGGTGCCAGCTATCACAGACACTTCACCCAGAGCTGAAGCTGCGGGGCACACTGGTGAGTCCCTCGCAAGTGCACGAATTGGCGGTGTCTGGTACATTCCGTTCGCTAGTTCCCATAATCTCCCAGAACACACACTGCCCAGGCCCACTGCCCTGTGTCTCGTCAGACGATCCTTTATCCATGTTTCATCCAGGTCTCCACTACATCCTAACTGTCCAGACCTCCTCTCGATAGCAGCTCTGGATCCCCACTATTTTAGAGCCATCACTTCTGCCACCCCCTCCTGGTTTATCTGTGGCCATATCATGCTCTCTCTGGGTCAGCCCATCCCACTTACCTGGGATGGCCCCTCAGTAGGAAGTCATTAGGCCAGGAGCAGTGTTTCCCAGCGGGGCAGTGGGGGGAGGGGGATGTCAGCAACCCCCAGGAGGTCCGAAAGCACCGAACACTTTATTGCAATCTAAAGCCAAGAAAATCTGGCTCCTCCACTCCCTGCACACCCGGCCTGTCGAGACCACGTATTCCCTGCCAGCCTCCCAAAGGCACACGATTCAATACCAGGATTATCACTGCTACACTTCCTTCTCTTCCTTCAGAAGGTGAATCCCCTAACCCTCAGCTCTTGGATAGCCCTTTCCCTGCAGCCCAAGAGGCTTTGCAGAGGGGGAGCAGGACTAGCTTACAAAAGGGGAAGGACACACCCACAGTCAGTGGCAGCATCAACCGGGGCCCTGCCCACTAGACCACACTTCCCTCTTCTAGGACCAAGAGAGGAAGAACTCAAGCCCGGCCGCAGTGGATTGCATTGCACCCTTGTGTTCCTTGCACTTCCACTCCAGCTGCCCCTTGCTCCAACCAGCCTCTCCCATGTCAGCAGTGCACTGTCCTTTCCAAACCTCCTTCCATGCCACCCTCTAGGCCTGCAGCCCCTTCCTCTGTGGCACAGTTCTCCTCCTCCTCCCATTCCCCTGCACGCAGCTCCAATCCATCCGGCCACACAGCCCCTGCCAAGCTCGCCCTCGAGAGACGGGGTGGGAAGCGAGAGCTGCCTTTGCAGCGTCTCTCCCAAGGAAGGCTCCGGCTGCAAGCCCCTGGAGCCCCCTGCTCCGTGCAAGCGACAGCAGCAGCGTTTCTACCCCAGCTGTTCCTGTGCTCTGTTCCCATGCTCGGGGCAGCTGCTCCGGCCAGCAGTTCGGCTGCTCCCCTCCCCACAGCACGTCTAGATACAAAGGGTTCAGCTGGATTTCCTCTGCCTCCCAGTACATTTGCAATCGCCCATTTCTCCGGCCTCGCAATCCCTTTGGCTCACACAGGCCCCCTGGGAGAGACAAGCACTCCAGCGAGCCAGTCGCAGGTATCGGGGGCTGCAGGTGCCAGAGCACCGTATCTGCGGGAGAGCGAGGGGGCAGGGGCGGGCGCAGCGCTGCAGTTACCATCCTGGAAGACTCTCTCGACGTTCAGGCCGTAGGTGGCACAGGTCTCGTAGTACGTGCAGCGCTTCAAATCGTTGGAGAGTTTGCGGGCCCGAGAGTCATCGATGACACGGGGATTGGTGGCACTGATAGCGTCTGGAAACCAAAGAGAGGAAGAGTTAGAAAACAGGTTTCCACACCCCCATCCCACCCTGGAGCCCCCCAAGATACCAGGGTCCCACAGCACATTCCCGGGGTCCTTCCAGCCCCATCCAGGGCTGGGATAACCAGCTCCAAAGCCCAGGCCCCGTCTGTCCCGGGCTCAGATAGGCGGGTTCCACAGCACGTTACTGGAAACCGGACAGCCCTCGTCCTCCCCACCACCCCTGCCTCCAGATCCCCCAGTTCCACAACCCACGCCGGGGGTTCGAGGACTTGGGTCGGGAAGGTACCGTCCCCACCCTGCAGACACCACTGACGATTCTCCGCTAGCTTTAATTCCTTGTACCCTAACCCTAGGAATTTCTCGACTCCCCACAAGCACTGGAGCTCTGGCTACAGCACCACCACTGCCACTCCCATGCCCAGAACAACCTCCCCGGCCCCTGGCAATCCCACTCCCCACCCGCCCCGCCCTTCTGTCTACAATCACAGGCACACATCAAGGTTTCAGAAGTCCTGGAGCTCTGGCTGTCCATGCCGAAGTCCCCCACCCCCTCCCGCCTCCACCCCCTGCCCTGCGTGTGTGTTGGCTAATGTGTGGGACCCCTGCAAGGCAGGACTTGGCCTCGTGGCCGCATGGACCATCCTGCGTGAGGCAGAGGCAGTAACGCTAACGCCAGCTCTAGGCCTTTGCAGTCTGAGAGGCGTCGCTACCACCAAGGCTTGAGAGCACGAGCCGCAGCCTGAGACGCTGGCTGCCAGCTGCAGCCTAGCGCGGACGTGCCCCAGGCGCCTCGTTCACCCCCTTCTGCTGCAGAACGGCCGGCTTCTGCCTTGTGCCCCCGGTTCTGACCGAAGGGAAAGCTCCTCCCGGCTCAAATCCCCTGGCCAGCCCCGCCCACGGGAGCCCCCATGCACCCAGTCACCTTCCCCCGAGCCCACTGTGCTAGGCTGGGCAGGTCTGCCCAACCCATCTCCTCCTCTGCACCTGGCACTGGCAGGACCTGGAGAAGTTTCCCTGCACCTTCAGTCTCTGCCCAGGGCCCCGAGAGATTCATCCGCCTATCACCCCGGCCTTGCTGGGCCATGCGGGCCCGCTTGGGCTGAGATCCTTGGTGAGCCCCTAAGACCCCCTCTCCACCCTCTGCCCGACTCCAACCTCCTGCGGGGGGTGCCAGGACACCTCAGGGGGGCCCAGAGCTGGGATGGGGGGAGGTGCCGGACGCCTCAGCATGGCCCAGAGCGGGGGTGGGGGAGGTGCCGGACACCTCAGGGTGCCTGGGAGGGAGGGAGAGGCAGCAGCTGGTACCATGTGGCATGGTGTTTGATGTTCCCGGTGGGGCTTGCCGCCCCAGTGCAGGACAGGCTGGGTGGGGGGAGCGACTGGCCCCCCCCAGAAGTGAAAGCCCAGGCCCCACACGGAGTCCCTGTGAGCCCCTTACAGGCAGGGCCAGCCCTGGCACCCCGGGGTGTCTCGGCAGCGCTCGCCCTGGGTCCCTCTCACCTTGCGTCCCCACCAGGACCATGGGCACCTCGGCCGTGCTGCGGTAGCTGCAGAGCCGCAGGTAGTAGTTATACACCGTCTGGAAGCTGATCTCGTCCTCCAGGCTGAAGACAAACACCACGGCGTCCACCCAGGCGGCAAACTGGGGGAGACACCGACCATCAGCCCAGCGCCTGCCCCACTGAGCCCCCACCCCAGCGCCTGCCCCAATCCCTGCACCTACCCCACTGAGCCCTCGCCCCACTCTCTGCAGCCCTGCGCCTGCCCCACCGAGCCCCTGCCCCGATCCCTGCACCCGTGCCTGCCCCATTGAGCCCCTGCCCCACTGAGCCTCCGCCCTGCCCCATGCAGCCCTGCACCTGCCCCACCGAGCCCCTGCCCCAATGAGCCCCCGCCTCACTCTCTGCAGCCCAGCCCCCCTGCTGAGCCCCACCCCGCTCCCTGCAGCCCAGCCCCCCTGCTGCGCCCCACCCCGCTCCCTGCAGCTTTTAAGCGTTTCCTGGTCTCCCATCCAACCCTGTTGTGAGATCCAAACCCCCTGACGCCTCCAGGACAGGGCCTCTTCCCGGACTGACGGCCAGGCCAGCGGCCTCCTCTCCTTCCCCATAGCTCTCTGCTCCTTGCACAGGGCTCTCAAGGGCCAGGATTCGTGCGGGGGAGAGGGGGGCTCTTACCTGGAGCTCGGGGGGGCCCCCTTCATCTCGAATCAGCAACAGGTAACTCTGACCATCCACTACGATCTCCTTCTTAAACCGGCCACCTGGGGACAAGGCAAAGCAGCGCACTGAGCCGGGGGCGGGGGGTGAATGGAGGGTGCACACCTCCAGGGACACACCCGGGTGGGCAGACGCCTGGGGGCAGCTGTGAGGCTGGCTCTGCCCAGAGAGAAGTCTAGCTGGGGGGTCACCTCCTGAGCCAGGGACTAGGAGTCAGAGCCCAGAGCTCAGCATGGGGACAGGCCCTTACCTTCTGGGGACTCCTCCTGCACGTACGTGCCAGTCAGGTAGCGATGCACCAAGGCTGACTTGCCGCTGGACAGGTTCCCCACGATGCCCTGCAACACAAAGGTGCGTGAAAGCGCCCTGCCCCCTCCGCGCTAATATCACTAGAGGGCCTGGCCCATCGACACGGGGCCAGCACTGGCCAGGCCAGTGGGGGTGACACACACGCTTACTGCTCGGGCAGCAGGGCCCCCCTGAGAGGGCCCAGCCACTGCACACCCCAGCTTGCCATCCAGTGGCATTCCGGGGTTCGCCAGGCGGAGCACTGCGCGACCTGGCACTGGATGGGAGCGGAGAGCAGATGCCGGAGCCCTGCTGGCTCAAGGGAGGGTGGCTGAAGGTAAGTGGGCAGCCACCCCTCCACAGCCCCCAGATCTCCCGTTGCTTCGATGGACGCTTGTGCTATCAAGTCCCTGCCTGCCCCACAGGGGAGGAGACCCTTCTCCCAGCCTACACCAACCTCCCACGGGCCACACGACCAGTCACACGGCTCCTGATGCAGAGAAAGAGAGAAAGCGTCTGGCTGTGGGCCTGGCCACAGCTGCTCCCTGGGATCCCAGCAAGGGGGTGTAAGATCTGCCCTTTCTCCGCCAGCAGCAGAGCACACGTTTACAAGCGGGGCTGGCTGCGCTGCCTGGAGTTACGGTTGCCTGACACGACCCATTATAAGCCTGTTTCCCGTTGCTAATGACTTTGCCAAACTTGAGCTGCCTGGGCTGAGATTTGCCAAGTCGGTGCCTGCTTCTGGCTGGCTCATTCAGGGCGTCGCCACAAGAACATGCTGCTCTTTTGGAGAGCCAGCTCAGGCGCCAACAGGTAAAAACCATTTCTCTGGAGAGCTCTGGTGCCGGGGGGGGTGCAGCAGGTACTGGAAAGTTGGCACGAGGATAGTCCGGGGGTCAGGGAGGCACCTTCCGCTGTCTGGGAAAACCTGGTCAGAGGTGGCCAAGTTCTAACCTGTAGAGTAGTCAATCCCCAATTGACATGTCCTGTGCAGCTGGGTGCTGGCTTGAGCCTTCCTTTTCTGCACTGAGCACGCTCCTCCAGCCCCACTGAGCGCCCCGCACAAAGACAACATGGATCCTTCACCTGCTGCTCTCCCTCATCACAATCCCCCGGCCTACGGAAAGCGGCACTTGGCCAGGAGCCGGGAGAAGGAGAGTTCTTACCGCACCTCTTCTCCTGAGGCTGTTCCTGGGTGCACGTCCCTTCCTCTGACCAAGGCCTCGTTGCCCCACACTGGGAAGCAGGCCAGTATCAGCCTGTAACTTTGCAGAGCCGGGAGCGTAACAGTGGGTAACGGAGCAGACCCAAGTCTCAGCCGCTTAGCTCTGCTTGAGGTTAAGATTTTGCCATGAGTGCTGTTAGTAAAAGTCACGGACAGGTCGTGGGCAACAAACAAAAATTCACGGAAGCCGGTGATGTGTCCTTGACCTTTACTAAAAATACCCTGGGGTCGGGGGGACTAAAAGTCAGAGCCCCGCCGGGGGCTGACCGCTGGCCGCTGCTTCTGCCCCAGCCACTGCTCCTGTGATGGGGGCTGACCCAGCCCGTTGCTGCTTCGGCCCCAGGGGCTGCACCTGCGGCAGGGGCTGACCCAGCCCAGCCGCTGCGCCTGCCCTGGGCTGCTACTCCTGGGCAGGGGCTGACAGTTGCTCCAGCGCCGCTGTGGCCGGCTGAAACCGAAGAAGTCATGAAGGTCTATTAAAGTCAGAGAATCCGTGACCTCTGTGACAGAATCGGATCCTTAGCCACGCTGCCTCGCAGAAAGAACCTGCATATCTTTGGCCTTGGCCAAGCTGTCTGTAAAGTGGGGCTACTCATGTATAAATAACCCAGTGTGTTTTGCATCTGCCTCTAGTGGCTGCTTCACAGAGGATATAACCTACCACTGCTGCTAGCTAATGTAGTTCCTCTGTTAGCACAAGTGATAGAGGTTTGCCCTGCACCCAGAAGTTCTGAGTTCAAACCCTGCTGGTGACTGAGGCAAAGACGCTCACAGTTGTATATAAATGAATTTTTCCCTCCATTTTTCTGTTTTCAAAAAAAACGCTAGGAAATTCCATCTCCGTAGCTAGGAAACCCGTGCACTGAACAAGGCATGGTCCTGTGGGAAACTCACCCAGACAAACCCAGTGCCAGAGTAGACACCCCAGGGACGAGGGAAGGCTCATTTCTGGCATTTCCAGACTCCTGAGTGCTCAACTTTGTAACCTGGTCCCATTCTTTTCTGACAGTTTTGTGTGTGGCCAGATAAATACAGCATGGTAGGAGACAGCATCCAGGTGCTGCACCACATCGGCTCTCCCCACCACTCTGAGCCCAAGCGGGCCTGACACTTGGAAAAATGGACAACCTGATCAATCTGGCTCAGGGTAACCTTGTGTGACGGGGTGTGACACCGCCATGCAGCGTGTGGCTGGGTGAGGGTTAACCCCGTGAGGAACGCCGACCACACCACGACTGCCCATCCACAAGGGGCACACGGCTGGGCTGCCCTGTGTGCCATTTTCTCCTCCTCCCCAGGTGCCAGAAGGAGGATGATTGCTATGACTCTACAAGGACATGTGATGAGACCACGTCTCTACACTCCATCTTGGGAAGTGCTGGACCCAGGCGAGAGGGATTGGGACAACTGGGGATTCCAAGCTGTGAGCAAGTGCAGTTTGCCCCCTAAGAATCTGCAGCCTGCCTGTATCATCTCTTAGGGTGAGAATCTGCTATTCATATCCAATCTATCTAGCATATTAAGCTTAGTTTGCGTTTTTTGTTTATTTGCTGGGTGATCTGCTTTGATCTGTTTGCTATCCCTTATACTCACTTAAAATCTATCTTTTGTACTTAATAAAACTTGTTTTTGCTTCATCTAAACCAGTGTGTGGGAATCATAACTCAGGGGCAAAGGCTGTTGCATATTCCTCTCCACATTGAGGGAGGGTGCACTGTACAGTTCCCTGTGCAGCGCAAGATGGTATAATTCTGGGTTTATATTCCAGAAGGGGTGCATGCCTGGGGAGCTGGGAGTTGCCTTAACTGTAGCCTTCCTATGCAGGGGCTGGTCAGAGAGCCTGTATGTAACTGCAGCTGCGTGTGTCCCTACCTGTGTGTGTGCTGGTGAACATGCAGGCTGGAGAGGGCTTTGTAGCTTGTCACAGCAGTACAGTGTGAGAGAGAGCCCAGGCTGGTGGGTCAGGGGGCTCAGCGGTACCCCAGTTCCACGTGGCGCCCCAGGGGAGAACCCGTCACACCCATCCCATGCCCAGGCCAGCTGTTCCAATGGGGCGTTATCCTTGCTGGGAAAAAATTTGCTTATTTCCAGTTTGAACTTTGCCGACATCAACTTCCAGCCACTGGCTCTTGTTCTGCCTTCGTCTGGGAGATCAAATCTCCGCCCCGCTTAGGCACTTCTGGGCTGTGAACCGTCTCTTTGCTAAGCTATGCAGAATGAGCTTCTCCAGTCTCTCACTCCAGGCCGGGTTTTCCAGACTTAAAATCCCTGAAGTTCTGTGCAGATAGAGAACAAGTCCCGGGCATGCTGAGGTGCCGCTGTCAGACCCAGCGCCAGCCAGGTGGGGTGCTGGCGAGAGGGCACCCACTGAGGGCCCGTGGGAGACTGGGCAGGACCTAGCCATGCCAGGAGCTCTTTGCCGGTGCGACGCACAGGGAGAGCTGGCCCCCGTTCTGAGCACAGCCTGGCCATGCTGCACACCCAGCGAACTGCACGGCAAAGGCTCGCACGGATGGGGCTCAGGCTCACAGGGACAAAGGGAACTGCCCAAGGTCACACAGAGAGTCTGTGGCATAGCCCAGAATTGAATCTGGGTCCCCCGACTCCCAGCCAGGTCCCGAATCCTAAGGCCAGGTGGGAGACACACCGTCAGCGGGAGGGAAATCCAGGTACCTCGACACTGCTGCCATGCCCAGGGCCACACACACGAGTGCCCTGAACAGTGCGAGGCTGCACGGGGGGGACAGTAAGGCAGAGGGGAGGGGAGAGGAGCTTGGTTCCCCCAGGCACTGCGGGAGCAGCACCTATCACCCCGTAACAGGACACCAGGAACAGATGGGGGCTGAATGGAGACAAACAATGGAACAGCTGACCAGGGGGGAGGGGGGCAGAGACTCCATCACGCAGGGTGAATCCAGACCGGGTGTCTCTCTAACACACCTGCTCTAGCTTTGCCAGATGGGCTGGGCTGGAGTCCCTGGGCGAGGGTCCCTGCCCTGGGCTCTGCAGGAGGCTGGATGGGATGGGCAGGACGGTCCCTGGGGCTTTCACGTCTAAGGACCCAACCCCAGCCCAGCAGCCTTTCCTGTCTGTGACAAAATGAGTTTTCTTAATGTTCTGTATGAACAGATGCCTCAGTTTCCCTTGTGTGCCTCAGTTTCCCTTGTGTGTTGCACAAGTCTCTAGGTGGTGGGATAAGGGTGTGTGATCAGAGACCCCTAGAGGGCAGGTGTGACTGCCAGAGAAGGCCGGGGTCGACACTGTATCCTGGCAACTGATGGCCGGACCCCCTGCCACGAGTTGGCGAACGAAGCGAGAGGTGGAGACCAGGTGACCAGTTTGCCCAGGAAAGACACAAAGGCCGGAGTAGCGGCAGCTGGGTGTGCCTGAGGCTGGGTGGCTGGAAGCGAGTCAGTCTCCTGGTTTGGGACTCAGGGGGGAGAGCCCAGGGCTCTGGATCCCCCCAAGATGGACTTGGCTGAATGTTCCTGCTCCCTGTGCTCACAAGCTCTGCTCTATGCTAGGCTCCTGGTGACTAATAACCCGTCTGTCCCACGCTGGCCGGGAGTCACTGCCGGCTGCGGAGTGGGGGGCAGGGCCCTTTGGGGGCGTGTGAGGCTTCCCCGGGTGTCCCCTACTCGCTGCGGGATGCTCACGGTGTGAACAGGGGCTGAATGCTCCGAGGTCAGACCCAGGAGGAGGGGGCTTGCCCTGGTGAGAGCACGTCCCAGGGGAGTCACGCTGACAGAGGGCCCCGTCTGACTTCATTCCCAGGGGTCCAGAGCACCCAGCCCCTGCACCCAACACCATCCAAGGGGATATGCACACGGCAGCCCTGCCCCACCTTCCGCAGAGCAGGGGGGTCTCACTCCCACCGCTCACAAGCAGGCCCAGGCCCCAGCCACAGGCCCTCCAAGGGGCTCTGCAGGCAGAGCAGGCTGGGCCAAGCACTCACCACTTTGAGCTCAGGCACCGAGCGGCTCAGGGTCCATTCCTGGCTGTTCACAAACGAATCTGCAGAACAGAGAAAAGACGCCGTCAGCCCCTGGCTGGGGAGTTGAGTCATCAGCCCCCAGCGTCCCCACCCTGCCCTGCCCTCTGCCCGCAGGGACGCCCTGGGCTCCCACCCCACACGGAGAGGAGAGAACTGAAACACCCTCCCAGCACAGCAGCCACCTCCCTGCCCTGGTCTGGGCCGCTGCACCCGAGCTCAGAGAGGCCACTCACTGAGGGGGGAGCAGCACAGGGCCCTGACTGAGCCCAGCAGCCACCAAGGCGTAGGCCCCAGGTCTGCACTAGGAGCTCTGCTGGGAGCACCCCTTCCCCAGCACCCCCTAGACCAGAACTGTGCAGGGGTGACCTCCAGGGGCACTCAGACCATGCAGCACCCCCCTTCCCCAGCCCTGTGGGCTGGAGGGAGAAGGAAACTCCAGGGAGGAGCCAGCCCCTTGGGGCCACAGAAAGTGAAGTTGGCAGCAGCAGGCAGAGAACAGCTACACCAGGGGCTGCAGCGCTGGGCGGGAAAATCAGCAGGAGCCGTGGGCAGGGCGACCAGACGGCAAGTGTGAGCAGTGGGGGAGGGACGGGGGGGACAGGCGCCGATAGGAGACAAAGCCCCGAATACTGGGACTGCCCCATAAAATCGGGACAGCTGGTGACCCGGGGGGGGGGGGGGGGGGGACGGCTGGGGGGCGGGGGGGGCGGGGGGGCGGGGGGGCGGGTGGGGGGACGGAGGGGGAGGAATGGGGGGGGGGGCGGGGGAGAGGCAGGGAAGATGCAGCCAGAGCCGTG